CGTGAGCAGAACATAGGAAAATAGTGGGAAGGCCAATAGTGCAGTGGTACTGAAGTGCTTTGAATGCTATCAATGTATTTCAGATCGATTTAGCAGCATCACCAAATGAGAGGCAATATGGCATTGGGATTGGGAGAATAAACTGGAATTAGAAGGCCTAGATCAGTTCCTACCTCTGCCTCTGGCTAGTTCCCTAACTGGGAAAGCCATTCAGCCTTTCTGAAAATGGTAGAAATGATATCTTCTGTAAGAATGTGCAGAGATATTTAAGTGTGTAAATATATATGTACATGTAAAGCACTTGATAAGTGCCTGGTGTATCATAAATACTCAGAAGATGGGAACTTTTGCTGCTATTGTTGTGATTATTCATCATCTGTGTCATCATCATATAAAAGTATTTGGACATTTGTGTTGGGCCAGAATTGTACTTAACAACCACAGACAGTTGTTAGAAAGTTGACTTCTGAAAGTGGTTGCACCCAACTTTTCTGCCTGTGATCTTAGGGCCTGCATAGGCACTAAAATAGGTGATGCTATTTATTTTAAACAATAGAGGATGTTTTCCAGAGGGCTCACCTTACATAGGTTTAAGCAATAAAGGATTATTTATCAGCTAATTATTGAGAGAACCCCAAACTACTTTTGACGAGGTCTTTGTCAATCCCTAATCAGCAAATCCATGAGTTTGAACTTTTCTCTTGGGTTAAGAAGTCACTTAACTGATGAGTATTTCAAGCTCAGCAATCCAGCGTGTAGTCTCAACTAAGTACTGTTTTTCTTTACTTATATGTGCCAGTATATGGGATTTGTGAAGGTCTTCAGGAAGAACATTGATAAGAGTGCATCCTTAAGGCTGCTTGAACTTGATTTTGTCATGTCACTCACCTGTCAGGTACTCTCTCCCTCTCCAGGCAAGCATCCCTTTATAGTACTTTTATATTGTATTTGTGTGCCTCTCCATTATACTAAGAGATCTTAGAGGGTTTAGAGGTTGTGCTTACTCATTTTTATCCCCAGTGCCCAGCTTAGTGCCTGGAAGGTGCGGCTCAGTAAATGTTTATTCAATGATGGAGCATTATAACTGAGTATTCAGTCAAAGACTAAACATTAGGTCAGCCCTGACTAAAATCATCTCACAGTGACCAAGCTGAGGAGGAGTAATGGGGAGGTGGGAATGGGGGAATGAGGGTAGTAATAGTGAGGGGTATCTTTGTTTGCAGAGATAACTGTCTGGCTATTTAATGTATCCTGAAAGTCTAGCAATGGATCTAAAACATGTTGAGTGTTCACTAAAACATATCTGAATGAGTGAAAGAATGAAAAGATAAGCTCCCTAGTTTAACCTTGTCCTAGAATATTTAAAGTGTCTGAGATAGTTTTGGAAACAGATACTCCCATTGCCCCAAATTAGAACCCCAAATAGTGATCCTCTCCTGTCCCTTTTCTTCATTGCTAAGCTGCAGGGAGTTTAGCAATGCAGATCTTCCTACTGAACCTACTAACTGCAGTCAAAGCTACTACCCTGGAACTTAGCTAGGGAGTAAAGGGAAGCTAATGCCTTGGCTGGAGTCCCTCTCTTTTATCATTCTGTGCCCCCTGCTTTTGGTTTCTAACATGCCCTACTGTGACAGCTTCTCCTCCTTTACTCTGTGCCAGTGTGTCTCAGGGGTTTAATCTTTTGTTAAGGAGTGATGAAGATCCCCAACCGTGGCAGTAACAGGGCTTTATTCAGGAGACTGGAACCCATTCCTTCCCTCCTAACCTCACAGCGATGCTACCGGTTATCTTGGTTCACTCCAGGACTGAGAGATGAAGCTGTACCTCATTTTAGCCTGCAGCCCTTTTTCTGTCTTTGGGCTTACTAACCCTTCTGGTTAGTCTGGACCAGACTCTGTAAGTTTTTTCTGACATTTATATAGTAAAAACAAAAAATATTGCTCTTAGTTGCTAACAAAAATTTATATGTGAGGAAGTATTTCTGTCAAGTATCTGAGTTAATGCCTTGAACATTAATGTGCAGTGTTTAGAAAGGTTATGAAGAAATGCGATAATCAGTACAGTGGTTTCGTTAGAAGAGTTAGTACTGTTACCCTATTTGATGTGAATTGAAAATGGTTGAGGACTCCTTTTTTGTTTTTTCCTTTGAGAAGTAAATGCATGGCAAATAATAGTGAAAGAAAAGCTTTAATTAGAATTTGGGCCGGGCG